AAAAAAAACCAGAACGATTACAATACTGGTTCGGCTGAACTGCCGAACCAGCTAAAAAAAAAAAGGAAAGGAAAAAAAACAGAACGATTACAATACCTAGTTCGGCTGAACTGCCGAACCAGCTAATAAATTTTGTTTTTTAGAATTTTCACTTGTCAATTTGATGTCTGATCTGATAATGTCAATCTGGCATGAACACACTCCACACCCTGTTAAGCCTTGGAATCCAAGGCCAACTATCCTGCTCGAGATCCACAGAATGACATGCTCTTCCGCGAGATGCATATGGAGAGTTACGCTTTCTGTTGGGAGGTTGCCCTGAGAAAATTGTAAGTATTCTTGACTGTAAAATCCCTAATGAATCGAATGATATGACAAATTCAGTTCAATTGTTTTTACGAATATTATGTTTTACAACAAAAAGGGAAACATTTTAAACAAAAATATGGGTAATCCATGATGCAGATTCGACCGCGTGATTGGATGCCCGTCCAGCTGCGGTAAGCTGGCAGGGAGTGGAGAGGCAAGCATTTTTTAGGTCATCTTTTCTAGATCCTTCCCCGCCCTTGCGTCAGTGGGAAGAGAACGACCGAATACGCCTCTTGGCCGCCTGAGTGCAGGTTTGTAGCTGACGGCTCCCAGCACAATCGTGTGCCTGCCACCGTCACCACTCGCCCATCGCCCCAGGCCTTTGTAAGTCAGTAAATGAAGGTGTGGCGTACTGATTCCTGGGCGTAAAGCTATGGAAGTCCTGGGCTGTCCGTACACCAAGACTGCCCTCTCGGCCTAGTCGATGTAGTCCAACGGAACACAAAGTGCTAGAGTTTGGCATCGCTTTGGCTGCAGGAGCTGCCAGAAAGATGACAAAGATTGTCAGCAGAGTGCCTTCGGGGTCCCAGCTACAGATTTCTTTCAGGTTTACTCCTGAGCCTTTACTTCTCCCGAGGTTACCCACAAGGCAGCAGGGCCATTTAAGCATGGCTGCTGGTCTATTTAACCCATAGCTGAGGCAGTGGTTGGCATGGTGCCAGGGCGTGTCCACACGCCGGTGGGCCTGCACATCATACCTCTGGGGCCCACTGCTGCTCCGAGATCCCTTGCAGATTCAGCCTGGGGTTGCAAGATGCCCTGTTACCGTGTATTGCCAAGAGGAGGCACCGCAAGAGTCTTGATGGTGGAGAGGTTATGTGCTGGCAGGGGAGACTTACGCACTCGGCTCCCTTTTCGCCCCAAACAGGGCTAGCCAGCGGCAGCAGCTGACGGTAGAGAGCAGGTGTACAAAGCTAACTACTACTACACTACTGCGCTAGACTCATCACACACCCTGTGGAAAACCACCAACACACCCTTTCATGGTGCATTATGGGCTATACAGTTGCCAAAACCTCATTCATTAACTGCGCTGTGCATGCTCAATTTTTCAGATTGTTGGTTTATATTGGTTGAAAATTCGAAACTGCTTATTGCGAATGGGTGTAAGGTAGTCAAAATGGTCGTTTTGTGTGGAGTAGGAAACAACTCAATCAATATCCCCAAGCTATGTACCAGAATGTGCTTAATCGGAGCAGTTTATTGTCAACAAATTTGAAAAGGGGCCTGTCTGCAGCAAACTCTTGGTGGTGCAATGTATTTTGAATCACCTGTATTTAAACATTTTAAAATCAATTTTGGTTTTTAACCCCTATGCCTGACAATGGTTCTGCTACCTGTATTCATTGCCAACTTGAAGATGTTCTCCATACCGAATGTAGAATTGGCTGAAGCAAGAAAAATTGTTTTTCTGATCTCCTTAGTCTCAACTTTGTTTCAAACTGTTCAAGACTTTATCTGAATCTGTGGCTCAGCGTGGCTATATCTCCTGTATAGCTGAAAAATCTATTTCTTGTATTGGAGTCACAATAGTCCAAACTTCTTTTAACTGTGCTTTTCTTTCAGCTCAGTGACACGGTGATCTTCAGCAACAAGAATTTATTATAAAGAATTTGAACTGATTTTCTTGCTGATGTATTCAAAGGTGACTGGTCAATGCTCTCCCAAGGATATCTGCTATCCTTTATCTCATGCTAAGCTCAGCGGTGCCATGTCTGAGGACAGATCCAGAACCAAGTATTTTGGGGGAGGTCATGTTCAAGGGTTCAAACCTTTTTTTAAATTTCAACCTTGTATTGCCTTTAGGGGGTAAGGCCCCATGATGGGTAGTTTGCATGCACGTTGAAGGAAGGGAAGTAAGAACGGTACAAGAACGTTAAAAGAATCTATTGAAATAAACTAGTGACCGACCTGCTTTGATTGTTCATGTATATACATGTATGACATGAAAGTACATAATTGTACGGTCACGATGGTTATTTTGGCATGATCATAATATTCAGCACCAACATTGTTACAATGCAAAGGTATTTTTTCCATTTGACAAATGATTTTTTTTCATATTCCTTTTCTCAATTGATTTTTATTAAAGCATTTTCTCATGTAATTTCATATTAAATCAAAAGTAACAATGACTTTTGATTAATGATGAGGAATGTATCCTATAATTTCATGTACATGTATCTGATATATGTCAGCCCTGGAAGACATGACATGACATTATGGCTGTCTTCTGCAAATCTGCAGTGAAAGAGAAAATAACTACAGCACGATTTCAATGACAAAAACCTGAATTGTACCTCTGAGTTTCATATATGTAGTTTCATGGATGGAAATACCACAAAGCCCTTAGAGAAAAAGGAACCCATTAAAGATGAAATAGAAATTACGTTAGAGGCTAATGAATTTACTCAGTGATATTTAGAAACCATTCTCAAGGAATATGTCATCGAATACATCTACCTGTGCTGATTGAGAAAAAAATATATCACCAGGCCACCTGTTCAGTGTTGAACTATGCAGTAATCCATCATTAGGCCTGGAGATTTTTTTCGCATGACTGTCTAAATTTTATTTTGTGCTGATGCATTCGGTGACTTTAGGAGGAACAACTTGGAGATTCCCCCGTCGTTCGTGGGCTCGGTGTTCATTGAGTCTGGTAGTGAGATCTCTGCCAGTTTCGCCAATGTACACCTTGCCGCGTTCGCAGGGGATCCTGTAGACCCCTGGCTTGGTCTTGGGGTCTTGTTTGTCCTTGTGAGACTGGAGAGTTGCTTGGATCTTGTTGGAGGTGGTATGAAAGACTTTGATGCCATGGTGTAGAAGGATGCTCTGGATCCGGTGGGAGGTATTGCCTATGTAGGGGAGGGTGACAGAACTAATGTGCCTAACGGGTTGACCTTGGGTTTAGGAGACCCGCTGGTCTGGGGGGGGGGATCTAGGGTCTTGATCTGTCTTGACTTGAACCCGTTTCGCTGCAGTGCTGTGGAGATGCGATTGAGTTCTGATTGTAGGTGGTCTTGGTCGCAGATGTTGTATGCTCGACGTACGAGGGTTCTGTTGACGGAGGCCTTGATGCTGGGGTGGTGGAATGACTGGTTGTTTAGGTAGCGGTCGATGTGTGTTGGCTTCCTATATACTGTGCGGGATAGGGTGGTAGTCTTGAAACCTCGACACCCAAGAATGCAATGCGTCCGTCTTTTTCCTTCTCCATGGTGAACTGGATGTTGTTGTGTTGGCTGTTGAGGTGTTGAAGGAACAGCTGGAGGTCTTGTGGGCTATGTGGCCAGACGACGAAGGTGTCGTCCACATACCGGATCCATACGTTGGGCTCAAGTTGAGGTCCGCAGAGAAGATGGGCTGTCTGCTCAAATTCTTCCATGAACAGGTCTGCCAGAACCGGGGATAGAGGCGATCCCATGGAGGTTCCGGAAGACTGCTCGAAGAATTTGTCTCTCCACTGGAAGCAGGTCATTCCAGGGGGGACGGGGGGATCTCGAGAAATCTGCCATCATCAAACACTCCACCACTGAAGACCACCAAGTCCACTGGCAACAAACTCATCTCATTGCCAACATAGAGCAATGACATCCACGCCGTGTTCGTGAGGCAATTGAGATTCACAAGAACAGAACAGTTCCGCAAGACACAGGCTTCACCATCAGTGACATCTGGCGCCCCATCCTCAACCCTTCTTAGTCCGCCTCATGGGTCATCTATACCCTTGGCACCTTGCCCCAGTTCTTCCCATGTTTACCCATCCACACCCACATCAGTACTGCCACACCTGAGCAAGTTTCCACCACGCATCACCGAGCCAGCCTAACCCCTTCTCCAGACTTCCCGCCTTCACGCATCATCGGACTAATCCCTGTCTCCAGAATCCTCCATCAGACGACTTAATCCCCACTCCCAGTCAGTGTCCGGCATTCTCCTGAAGACGACCAGAGCATACTGCTCGAAACGTCAAGTACCACTGGTTCTTTTCAGAACCACATATACTCTCAAAAGAGATACGTCCATGGTGCTACCGCAAACCTACTTTCTATTATAAGAATGTCAAGGTGGAGAGCTTGTCAAGCATATAATTTGAGAAAAACAGACATGGTATCTCTCTTTGTTCGTTTAAATATAACATTATTTTTTGCCTTTAGTGCACTGGAAGAAATCTTCATTCAATTTACCGGCTTAAAGACCAATGAATTTCTGGATTGACCAGATTTTGAAAGTGCACAATAACTCTCTTAACGTGCCTTCGATATTATTAAATCAAGCTTGATTTGAATACTGTTGGTGTAGGTATGATAATGACATCGTTACCAATTTCAAACAAATGTTGACGTTAATGTGGAATTTTCTAAGATTTATTACAGTGTACCACCTTTCAGAATACTCAAACTGAATTTGTGCTAATTGGATGCAATTTTTTTATTTCGGACTCACAATTTCACGACACTGAAAGCATCGTGGAGGTAATAGAATTGTAACGTCTCTCTTGGGGAAGGGAGTCGTTATCATAAAGAATGAGAGTCATTGGACTGACTTATACACAGTACTGTTTTATTTCGAAGAATCATTTACATCTTCTCAATATTTACAATAAGCAACTGCTACTAGTAAGGCTGGGTGTTACTCGAGTACTGCTCGTCCAAATCTCAGCTATTTATTCGGGGGTGGTAGAAAGGTTGTTCATATCGGAGCAAAACACGAACTGTCAGGGAGATGTTCATCCAAAGCTGCTCGTTCAGGAGTGAACGCTGTGGACTGTTGGGGCCAAAGATTGTATAGCGCTGCGCGGCGCTATACAATCTTTTGTTGGAGGTGATCGCCTTATATAGACTTTTGGGGCCGCGTCTTAGCCAATGGGAGCGCTGGATTGAGGTGGTTATGAATAATTCATACATGTAGAAAGTCTACGGAAGAAAAGTCTCTTCGCTGACAGTTTCTGGAGAGCGATAGGGTCCGAGACGTTTGGGAGCAAGAGGGTGAAAGGCTGTTCGTGGGTGACTACGGGGGACTTGTTGGTCAACGAGGGAAAGGAAAGGGGAGAGCCTTTCACAACACTTACTCTCTGGATGGCTAGGAAATCTACACATAATTCTTACGGGCTAAAACTGAGGGTGAGCGGAGGTAATTGACCTCGCTGTGCCGTAACCGGACACAGGCTTTCGGTGTGTGGTTTGGCGGAACACATACGGCATGAGTTAGGGGTCTGTGTGGGTCGAATGTACGGGTTATATGTGCGTCTGAAAGTAGGATCGACTCCGAGGAAGATTTGGGGGAAAATGACTTAAGTTGGAAGTGTGCTTCGGTGCTGCAGTTCAAAGGCATGTTGCAGCATAGAGCAACGGGTTCGCGCGTGGAATGCAATGCGCTGCTGTATAATGCGTGTAATCTACGTGTAGATGGTATTGTGCTTGGTGTGGGTAAGTGGTGTGTGTAGTAGCGTGTACACTATAATCTACATGCATAAAGGGAACAGTTTGTGGGAGCGTGATAGTATTTATCTGTATTAGTTACAACACAGATTTGGCAACTCTGTTGGGTAAAGTCGATTTGGGGCACGTACACCAAGGAACGGTAACACGCCCTTCTCACAACGGACATTTTATTATCGGTGTCAGAGACTCGGAATATTCTGGCAGGTTGCTCGCTATACAAATGTGCTGGCATTCCGCCTCGAGAGGGTAATTCGTAACCCGTTGTCCAAGGCCGTTTTCCAGTACTCAAATTCGGCTCCATCTCAGGCATCAACTGTTTTTTTCTACTAGCTGACTTTGAAGCGCATGTAAGCGCAGTAATCAGTCTAATAGCGCCACAGAGCATCAAATAAGATGCAAAAAAGCCAAAAATTACAGTAATCCAATGTAATTTAAACACTTAAGCGCCCACAATTGGGGATTGGTTTTGGGAACGAACCCTGAGACGGAGACGAAGTTGAGTATTGCAAAACGGTCTAGGCTTTGTCCGTGCAATCACTGGAAATCAGTCAGGCGCACCC